AAGCTTGGTGCAGTGGCGTCCCAGCCGTCGGGGGAGAGAATCATATCCTCCAGTGACGACACCACAAAATGAGGACATGATGGAGGGATGAATGCCACACAGGCACCCTTGTCGAGCCTGCAGGTGTCTCGCTCGGATAGAGGTACATCAAGCTCAGGGACGTAGACCTCCAGATCCTGGGCGTGGGAGAGCCCTGCCACAGCCAAAAGCGAGGCACGATCCATGACGGGAGCCACAAGCACAGTAAAAATTGCCCCGGTGACATGCGAGCAATCGAGCAAGGCATGGAGCTGGTCACACCAGCACGGTTGAGCAACAACAAGGGCAGTGGATCCCAAAGGCTGCGGGAAAACGGGAGCCAGGGTAGGAAAACGTGCTCGTGCTGCAGGCGCACGCCCCGCTTGTACCAATGAAAGCACACCATCAACATCGGATGCAGCAGGCAAGGAGATCAAAACCTCCTCAGGGGCGTATTCCAGCCCATACACCAAGAAGGACGCGCACGCTGCGGCACGGCCATCGGGAGGTGGACTGCCGTGCTCGCGGTACGGTGATCTGCTCCGCGAGCGACGGCGAGAACGATCGTGCCGCGAAGCATCGGATGAGACAGCACTTTCAGTAGAGTCCGCCTGCGACGCATCAGAAGAGGACTCGCTCACATCCTGGTCGGGGGGGCCTTCCACACGGGCCGGAAGAGGCACAAAGGAAGCATACACGACCTGGCCTGGGATAATCCGGTAAGCTCCCTCTTCACCCTGGATTCCCTCAAGATGCAAGCACCAACCTGGCGGAGCAAACGTAGACAAAAAGTCTTCAAACGGTTGCTGAGGGACAGCCCCATCGACAGAGGAAAGCATCTGCCATCCCTGCATAAGGGCCCTGCAGTCAACAAAGGCAAGCACCAAGCGTCTGACCCTCTGAAGAGTGGTTGGGTCCGTGGAGTCCGAAACGGCACACACGTTACGACAGTAGTAGCCCTTGATCATCACGTCCGTGACCGGAGGGATTGCCAACTGTGTCAGTGCGTAGGCTGCCGTGAGGCCAAAGAGGGCTGCAAGAGCCTGGACATCAATAAAAGGCGAGTCACCAGCAGCCTGAAGGCGACGATGCCCTTCCTCGCCTACCGCACAGTAGCCTCCATCCGGGCCGGCGGGGATGTGAGGGGCGTCTTCCCATGC